TCAGTTTTAAAATTAGGAATATATTATTATTATGGTATAATTGATTTATAATCTTAAATAAATTGAATATAACAAATCTATATAGCATAAAGATTACATTTATAATTTAAGTTGATTATTTAAAATTTAGATAATAATTAATTTTGGGGCCCCATTAAAAAATTTGACCCGGGCCCCAAAATTCCTAAATTGGGCTCTGATAATGAACCACACGATACCTAATATATAGCAGAGCGGTGCTCACTGTCACTTGACAACGCTTTTTTCTGTTTTAATAAGCACTTCAAACAAACAATGAATATAAAATGTAATTGTTCTTAAATATTTTTAAAAATATTTTCGTCTATGAAAATAATCTTGTTTCAAATTATATCGTTTCTCTATAATAAAACAATTTAAATTACTGAATAATATAAAAATTAACTTTTCGTTAATAATTTATTTTATTTAATAAATTATTATTTTATAATCATCGCTCATTTAATTAAATACAATTAATGTCAATTATTATTCATTAATAGTAAATTGTTCATAGGTATAGTAGGTAGGTATGCAGTATAGGTATTATAGTTAAAAGTTTGAGAATATTTTGTTTTACTTACCCGTTACACGGCTATAATAATAATTATAATAATAATAATTTATGTTGTGTTGAACTGCTCATGACGAAATCTAACACGGGAATGGAAATATTAATCTAAAGTTGCCTAAAATCATAGACATATAAATAAATGGACTGCTCTTTCTTCACCCCTCATCTATCCGAATCTGAAATGTACATTGTGTGAGTGAGATAGAACCTGTTGTATCGTTTTTCATTGGGACTTAAGAAAACCAATTCATCTGTAACTTGATTTTCTTCTGACTCTTCTTCTATTGTACACAAGAGATCCAAATAGTTGGTATTTGTTACCTGTTTTGATGATGTAACAAATAGGATAGGAGTCAAATCTTGTGGTTCACAGTTTGCACCATTTGATAATTTAATTTCATTGTGTACAATGAGGCGTTTGTATGCTGCTTCGAATTGTGATGCAGTAGGGTTATTATTARACCCACCTTTTGCTCTAATTGCAGAAAAGAACATCTCCAGATGGTCTTGGGATATTTTGTACGTAAGGAAAAAGTCTAATATTCCAGTTTTAATAACATCAAAGAAATTTTCAATACTGGTTAAACAAATAATCAAACCCATAAACCCAGTTTTCCTTTTGGATGTAATTACAGATTCAAACAAATTTGGTGAATTCTGTACAGGTACTTTTAAATTTTTTATGTATTCAATTGACTCTTTTATAAACATTTTAATATGATTTTCACTGTTTGGAAACAATGGTTTTTTAAACTCGCTTTTACTCAAAAAATGTCTTGTATTCAAGACGTCAAATATGTTATTATGCCTACAAAATTTTGCCGTATGTTCAACGTGTTTAAAGTCGTCCATTTTTAAACTATTACAGCAATATTCAAATGCATCAGCCACACTCGTGCTAAATGTTTGTGCTGCAAGTTTAACTTTTATATTTTCTTTATAGTAGTTAATATGCCGGTTACGAATTTTTGTTCCAGCATGAATACCAACTTTATCTTGTAAATTAACTAGTTTTACAAAATAGTCCCATTCAATTGGATTTTTATCTTCATCGTACAATTATTTCCAGTCACCTAATGTGTTTCGACATAGTTTGATCATGTGTGCCGGATCCAAAAATAAATGTACTTTTTGTTTGGTTTCAGGATGTTCAAAATATGGTTTGATGTCAGGAAATAAAAGTTGAGCACCTAAGTTTGTTGCCATAGATAAATTAGTAGCTGTTCCATCAAATGTTAGTGTWWWWACACTAACATCAGTATCGTGTACAAATGACAATACTGTATTCACCAAATTGGCTTTTTCCTGAGAATTTAAACAGTTTACTAAAAAATAGGCAACTGGAACTTTCCAATTTGAATTCAAAGCCACTAGCATAAATACTAATGCTTCTTTGGCTCTTGGTAACCCATCGTGATCTAGTTTACCCGCTCCATAGTTTATAAATCCCTGTTGTCTTTGGCCATTATAGTGTATTTGATCATTTATATAAACTTCGTCCATAAGTAAACCACAAAATAAATTTTTGTTTTTTGTTTCCATTTCTTTACATTTTATTTTCACATCATTTAATGATTCAGATGTAAATCCAGGCGCACCATCTATTGAAGAGTACCATTTTCTTATAGTGCTTGGATGGGGGAGATTTTTGTTAAAATCATCTCGAACATAGTTGTACGCTGATGGTGAATAAAAGTGCAATGTAAGAGCAAATTTTCGAATTTCAGGGGTGATCATCTTAGCTGTTGTTTTATGTAACTGTTTAAATATAATTTCACTTTCAAAACTTGGTAAAGTTTCCTGAAATATTGATAGTTTAAATGGTTATTAAAGCCATTAAACCATAGAC